TGATTAGTGCTGACAGATAAGACGAACTCTCGCGACATTCCATATGTCAGAATGTTTTGAGGAATTACCTTGCGGTACCGCCACATCGAGACGGGCAAATTCAGGAAACTGTGGGTCGCTAACTGCATTGAAGTGCAGTCAAATGTCACTGGCAACTCTGCTGGACTATTGAACAGGAATAAAAGCGCAAAAATTGGCAGGCAAATATATTTTAAAGGAATGCCATCAGATGTAACAATAAAAAAAAACGAAAGCCACGCGTTTATTGGTCATCAAATATCCATAAATATGGTGCAGTATGCACATCGAAGTAAAAAGAATTAAAACATAATGGACCGGAGAATCATTCCAGTAAATAGCGTTATGAAACGAATTTGCGCTGGGGTGTTAGTAAAACCACAACTTCTTACAAGGAGCAAACAAGCCGCCATCTTTCGATAAGAATGAGCACTTTAAAAAACGCTGAAGTTAGCACTTAACAAATAATAAAGCGCCATCAGTAAGCAGTCTCTGAAAGATGGAACTATTATTGGCAGCTTTGCCGGCACATGGTTTCTGTTGGCATTTGCTACCACTAGAGCTACTTACTGGGCCCTAAGCTTCCCATAGAATCAGTGCGAGCGGGATTTGATTTAAATGATAAGTGAATTAAGTACCCAAAGTTCTGCGACTCTTTATGCTTTTCAGCCCAGTCTCTCAATATTCTGACAATGATATGTTAATAATGTTGTTAGTCATGACTGCAGTATCGTTGATGTTATAATGATTATTCCCAGAAAATACGAATTATACGTGTTAATAGTAACACGCTGATTTTGGCTTAACGAACGTTTCACTTACTGCTTGTAGTTACGGAGGTGTGCTGCTGCTGCTGTCCATTTGAATTGCCCTTACCACTTTTAGTGGGGTTTACGGCATTGTCGGAATTTTCAACGTCATGCTTCGATCGCAAGCGGAAGCACTTCTTGCAGCGTTCTCGGAGATACGTCTGCGGCTCAAAACCAGAGCAGGACACCTCCGCCAGCATC